TGAACATGTGTAGCACCAAAGACTGAAAGGGAGCAGTTTTGCTTCAGTGTGAGTAGAATTCTGTCTTCAGGCCCTGATGTAGTTTAGTTGTATGTAGAACCCACCAGGTACCATAAAGAGCTCTACCATCCAATACTCCACCGTTCCTTTCCATTCCCCAGTATATGACTTCTGAATCACCCATCCCCTTCTGCCTAACCAAATGCAGACTGAAAGAGGGAAAAAGGAAATTCAATTTTTAAGGAACATCTTACTCCAACATGTCCAATTGAAGAGACAGTGGTCTTCTCATCCCTTTCCTATTAGAGACTGGATGTCATTGTGGCCATTCTGACCATGCATGCAAGAACTCTAAACAATGATATTGTATCCAGACCAATAATTGATTATTCTTCTTCCATTGATTTTATCTTTTATCTGTATGATCAGTGTCAACAATCTGTCACAGATTTCTACAAATATCTACATTTGCAGCTCTTGGAAACTTCTGTTTAGAATTTCTAAGGGTCCAGCCCTTGGATCTCTATCCTGCAGGATCAAGAGAAAGAGGAGAGATTTTTTTCTTATGTCCAAATGAGAATGCCACTAGTTTGATGTTTTCTTGATAAATCTGCAATGCTGATCATGTGAGCCGCGTCTTGGTAATTCACCTCTTGTGTGATAAGAGGCAGAATCAGTAGGAAATCAGTATAATGTCAGGCCTGTGATTATTCTTGTGGATATCCTACATTTAGAGCAGTGGGAGATGCAACTTTGCTAGTGGCAGTCAAGACAGCTTTTGGGATGAACTGTGGAGCTGTTGAAAAAGAATGCAAAAGAGAAAATGTAGAGAAGACATGTACAGGGGTGCCCCGCATAGCGACGTTAATCCATTCCAGGATTAATGTCGCTATCCGGAAACATCGCTATACAGAACGTAAAACCCCATAGGAACGCATTAAACTCTGTTTAATGCGTTCCTATGGGGGGAAAACTCACTGGTAAGCGAAGATTCCCCATCGGCCACCATTTTCGCCACCTCGGTAAGCGAGGGCAGGGCATGAAAACTCTGCGGGCGGCCATTTTCTGCTCCCGGTGGCCATTTTGGAACCGCCAATCAGCTGTTTTCTAAACATCGTCATGTGAAGATCGGTAAGCGAAACACGTACCGATCATCGCAATGCAATGTTTTGCCACCTAAAACATTGCAATTCAATCGCATTAGCAATTGCAAAAAATGTGTCACTATGCGTATTCGCCGTTAAATGGTGTGCTCTTTAAGCAAGGCACCACTGTAAACTGTCTGGAAAGCATTTGAGAATTTTTGTAGTTAAAATATTCCGTTGTGGTTTCTTGTTGACTATTGACACTTTGGAATATACAGTAATACTATGAATTTCCAAAACACTGTAGATTTATTCACATGATATTTTAAAGTTCATAAAATTAATATTCACTGTTTTCCTCCACCACTGTTATTTAATCTCTGCCCATCCACTCCTGAAATAACGAGATAGACACAGGTGTTGGAGTTAACTAGGGCCACACTTTATTGCCTTTAACCTCCAATCATTCTAATCTTGCAGAGGGGCCTGGACGTCATGTGAATCCCTGGGGCAGGCTCTAGGGGTATCTCTTACCCCCTCTCCAATCGTAAGCGGGTGATAAAACTGCAATAGATAAACCAAAATTAGTTTTCATCTCTTAACCTTCTCAGTGTCTTTACCTGAATAAAGAGAGAAGGTAGTTAAAACAGAAAAAATGAACAGAAATTGGTTTTGATTCCATACCTGGTCAGTGTCTTCACCTGCATAAGGAGGGAAGGTGGTAAAAATGAGAAAAAAATAAACCAAAATTAGGTTTGATCTCCTACCTGGTCGGTGTCTTGACCTGTATGAGAAGGGAAGGTAGTAAAAAAAAATAAAAATCTAAATTGAGCATTGATCCCTTACCTGGTCAGTACCTAACCATAAGATATGTTGTTTTACCTAGAAGATAGTTATGTGATATGTATTAATATTTATAAACCACTATCTCTTTAAATTTTGAGCAAGTAATTAACACTATGAATATGGAAATAAAT